GCAAGCGCTCTACCACCTTCCCAGACCCCAAGCCTGCGGTCTTACCTAATCCGAGGTTCCGATCAGCCTGGGCCTTCCGCGGGGCGGTGTCCCGGTGAACCGAGCCCCAGGCCTCGCGGTGTAGCTCGAGCCGCGGCGGGCCGAACCTGCCGTGGACCGGGGCGCGGAGCTGGGCCCGGACGCCTGGCCCCGGTGGGGCTGGAGTTGCGCGGCGCCGCGGTGCGGTGCGGTGCGGTGCGGGTGCGCACAGCCGTGCCCGCCCGGGAACGGGAAGCCGGCCGCAGGGTCGCGTTGTGCGCAGGACAGGTGGAAGGTGACCAGGGGATGAATGCATACACATCCTGTGCTCCACGGGGACGGGAAGGAAAGGAAGTTGCGCTGCTAAAGTCGGAGAGGGCAAGTCCTGCCTGAAGCCGCTCGTGTTGTAGTGGGGAAACTGAGTCAGGGGAAGGGCTGTGCACCCGGCACCGAGGCCGCCGTCCTGGGCTCGGTAGAGGCCGGGCGGGCTGGGGATACACCAAGCTCTGCTCCAGGGCTGTGTTCCTCGTGTTTATGGATAATTCTTTGCTGAGGTTTGGTCTCCACCCAACATGTGACCTCCGTCTTTAAAACCTCGGCTCCTGCTCCGCTGAAGGCTGCAGATTACTGCAGGCCTCTGTCTGCACTCAACTAGTGCTACAATAAAGACTCCAGAATTTGACCTCGCAGACTGTGGCTGCTCTGTTTTTCTCGTGGCTGGTTTTATATCTGACATTGTGGAGCACATGGGCAGCCAACATGGCGCTGGGAGGGGGTTGAGTGGGCAGAGCCTAACTTACTGTAGAGCACATGGGCAGCCAAGATGGCTCTGGGAGAGAGTAGAGTGGGCAGACCCCAATTGATCTGATCAGTACCTAACCAGCCCGTGAAGGCTCAGGTGAATGATAGGGTGTGACCTTGACAGTGATTGGTTCCTCTTCCTCCCTTACCATACCACCCACCCTTTTTGTCTTTAAAAGGGGCTGCTCTCTCTTAATAAACGAGTTTTTTCTACCTGCTGGATTTGGCTCCCCGCTGTGTCTGATTGTCTCCCAGGCTGAGGGAGGCTGGAGAACGGGCGAGCGCCGCATTTACCTTTCCTCGGACCCCGTCCGTCTTTTGTGGGACGGACGAAGACCCAACATGACATAAGGTATACTTTACTGCACAGCTGTGCGAGGTGATCCGACGGGAATCTCTCAGGGTGAAGAGGTGGGGGCAGCGCCTAAGGAGACAGTCAGTGTGGGAGGTGGAAGGATTCAGAGGCAGAGGATGGACGTGGCTGCCCTGAAAATAGTTAAGATGAAAGTTTACATTATGTGCAGAGGTATGGACTGGTACTGGGGCTGGAACTCAGGGCCTCATGCTCACTCAAGGCTGGCACCCGACCACTGTGAGCCACAACTCCACTTCTGGGTTTTTGCTTGTTAATTGGCGCTGAGTCTCACAGACTTTCCTGTGCAGGCTGGCTTTGAACTATGGTCCTCAGATCTCAGCCCCCTGAGTTAGCTAGGATGACAGACGTGAGCCACCAGTACCCAGCTCACAATATTCTGAACTGAACTGTTTGTTTTTTAAGTGTGTGGGGGGGGGCGGGGGGGTTAGTTGTAAAAGCTGAGGGACCAATCCAAAAGCCACCAGGCAAGAAAATACCACTGTCGCTGGTCACCAAGGCTGAGCCTGGGAACAGAGGAGATCTCAGACTTCTTTGCAATAAAAGACAATTGGCACCGTGTGTGTGTGTGTGTGTGTGTGTTTCTGTTTGTCTGTCTGTGTTGCTGAATTGGTAAAACTGCAGTGGGAAATACAGAGGAGTGAAGTCTTGGCCTGGGGTTGGCCTGGCTGGCAGGCAGTACTCAGGAGGACAGAACTCACTCCGCCTCCCGGGAGCTGAGGATTGAAGTGTTTACAGCTGTATTTCTTTTCTTTTCTTTTTTTTTTTTT